TAGCATATATCACAAACGTACTCCCAGATTCCAGAAGGAAAGAAAACCTACTCCCAAGATCCAGGTTTAGCAACAGGTCCCAAAGCAAACGTAGTACACATGTCAAATATGACACCACCGGCTCCTCCATGCATCACATTGTTGATATTGCTATATTGTTCGTCTATTAGAAATTCGAAGGTTACGGTTCCTGAGGGGGTGGCATCAATGATTTTGATGTTTTCCATGAGGTGAGAGTCAAAGCCTTTGAAATTTTGGGCTTGGGCGATTAGTCGGTATCTGGGGGTTTGTTAGAGGGGAGTGGGAAAGGGGGAGGTAGGATTTAGGGGGGTAGGAATATGAAGTGAAGAACTGGTGTGAAAATTGAGACGAAAATGGTCAATAGCTATAGAGAAAAATCAAATTGATACCGAAGGACTTCTTAAAGTTGTGGTATAGTACTACTAACCACCCAGAAAGAGAGAGTTCTTCATTGCGAGAAGTCGGCAAAAAAATACCACCACTGCACAAGTACCGTACGATGCTGTAGCAAATACTTCCACTTGGCGCATGTAGTTAAATGAATTCCCGACACAGAAATATAAAGAAACTAAAAAAGAATACCTCTCAAAAATCGCCTCGACACCCTTCATAGCCTCCTCCCGTGACTTCGACATCTTGCACCAGATACCCCTCTTTCTTCTATCCTACTCAAATTACTCTTTTAGAAATGAAAAAAAGAAACGTTACTTTGCATGAAATGAATGTAAATTGAGTAAAATCTAAAACGTTGAAGCGTCACGACAATCTTGTAGCTATAGCTTGAATGGCAACCAAGATCGAGCAGTAGACGCGACGTTCTTGCCGAGGTTCGGATGGCGGATCGGATCATGAGGTTTGGTGGGATAAAGTAATCTTGTGAAGGGGTGGGTTGTGAGATTATGTAAGCAGGGACTTGTGGGAAGTGAGGTTTGTTTTTGATGTTGATGAGAGAAGGTTTTTTGTTATATCAAGCAACTTGATGAACCCATCAGGTTAAGCTGGGCTCATATCATTACCAGAAGGAGCGGCTAACTCTATGTTATCATTAGTAGTGGGCTAGTCTTCTAAATCACTCGAGAAGGCTAATCGAATTCTACTTTTTTCAATCGCGGGCCAGTATTTCAATACATACTTCTATAAAATAGCATTGAAAAGAATGCGCTTCAGCCTACAAATGATTTAGCGAAGGCTTATTTTTTCCTTTTCTTTTTTTTCAAGAACCAGCTCTCTATTCAAACTAAATACGAGTTATCCATCTTCCCCAAGAATGATATCAACAATTAGTCTTTCTTTCTATATCAATGTAACTGTACAGACAGCAAGATTCAATTTTTGATGGCAGTTCATAGTAGTTGTCAAAGGGACATGAATTGGAGATTATCTTCACCGTTTTCATTGTCATTATCATTTATACATTCATCACTTTCGTGAAAATGGAAGGTGCTGAGATAGTTCCAGCCAGACTCTGTTAATAGATTGGTCTTCCTTCAACACTCTTGAGTATTTTAGTGAAGGTTTTAGATTGTTACCATAGATTTTATAAATAATGCTGGTCACTTCAGCGGAAACTTCGACATAAGGTTGGGTTCTCATACATTCCTATCTCATGTCTATCTCTTCATCAAGCATCCATTCCTTACCCATGACCTCCAGGGTTGTCATAGTCAAATGGTACGATATCAATATGTACGTTGCCATTTATTCACTAAATCGCCTGACACATCACGGAGAGTCTCTTAACTATAAAAACATTGATCAAGGCAGAGAAAGTGATAATCAAGAACAAACGATAGACCTGCAGATGTGGCTGCTAGGTCTTCAAATTGCGTTTTCATGGCTACAAAATTACCTTACCTGTATTCCAAACCCCCAAGTTTGGACACTTCTTCAAGCCCGGAACAAGTCAAACTGGTACTCATTTCTAAGGGATTGTTGTCGTTTGTGTCAGACGAGTATTCAAAAGGGATGACTACAAAATGTACCACCGATAACAGCGGAAATTGCGCTTTTCGGGAATTATAGCTCACCAGTATCGATAGTGAGAATTAGAAAACAGGTACAGTCAATTTTTTGGATATATATTGAAAGAAATAAAAGGGACAAGACTCTCAGAGATTTCTCGCGCACGTTCAGCGAGAGGATTATCTGTTCGTCCTCTGTTGGCTTGTATCTCTGTGACTTCATATCTACAGGGAATTCAAATGGATCCAAGACGGATTTTTATACCAGTTAGAACCTCATCGCGGCCAAGAAAGTGAATCACTTGCTAGCTGGAGATCCTTTGTTGCAAAACAGAGCACCTGATGAATAGTAACCTAATCGTAACAGTATAAAAATACATCACTATAACTCCTACACAAGACACAATCACAAGCCCAAAGCAGATTGAAGATATATAATGTGTCCTGGATCTGGACTCTTTCACAAAGGTCTGAATGAGAACCAGATAAAGCTAGAGTAAGAAGATACTTAGATTGGAAAGCCCGAGACATTTTCCTTGTATTGATACTATATTGGACATTTCAATGAGATCGTGTTTGAGGTGACGATGAAAAGTTCTTCGATGATAATGATCACCGCAACCAAAAGCTTCGGCAATGAAGATTGTAAGGATCAATTGAGGACGTTGCAGTGCTAATATGTAACATAGTCAAGTACCTAAAGTCGTGGTTTCATGCAACGACTGAAGCTAGAGTTTCAAGATCCTGAGCTTTACCCATTCTTTGCTTTCTAGCGTATATTAGAGTTCGCAAACCTCATGGAATTCAAAGGCTTCGTTTAAATACGAAGATATTGCAGCGACCTCATTAGAAAATCTCGAATCCGTATGTAAAGATTCACTATACCCCGTCAATGTATCAACATCCATGAATATACCCATCAACTCTTCCCCAGAAAACCTATCGGACAGCGAAAAATGAGAACATTGAGGTATTTAAAGAACAAGGAAAACAGGATTCTAAGATCCCAAACCACAAGTCAAAAAGGTAGATATAAGCCAAGGGGGTACCCGCAGTTCCATCCATATCTTTCGATTTGACTAGATATCTAGTTACTTAGTTCTTATTTGGTAATTCTACTGGCCGAGAATCTTGCTGATTTAAAAGAGAAATTTTTGTATCGTCAATTGTCAATAAGTAATCAGAAAACAATAATGAGTGAATCTCCACGCAACAATAGCGACAATGACAATTTCAATTCGACGATACTCAACTATCTTGACAATCAAGACAAACTCGCCGTGCGAAAATCGGGAAGAGAAATCTTGTAAAGCGCGACTAAGTGCAGTACACCTACAGAAAAGCTGACCTAGATGGTATTTGATCTCTCATCTTGGAAAATTGAAAGCTTGTCCGTTTATTGCAAGGTGTTGAATGTCTTAAATACTCAGGTCTGTCGGTCGGAAGATTGTGAATTATCTTGGCGCATGCTTTTGCGGGGTGAATATATTCACTTCTCATATCGAAGTAAGTAGACTGTCTTGTGGAGTGTAGTGTCTGTCATGTGTACTCGCCCATTATCAGAGTCCCATCAAAATGTAGTGAATTCTATTATCTGTAGATCAAGACCTTCCTATATAAACACCATCGTCTACGCTTTATCTGGGATCATCATCTAACAATGATTACGGAATGGAATGAGATGAGAAGGGATTCCCAAGGCAGGAAAGGGGGACTGCCTGCAAACTCTCGCTTGCATAGATGAGATTCTATGTAACAGCAATTTTCAATGCAAGATAATCTCATTTTTGGGCAAAATCTCAGATTGTAAATTGTGAGAGTCGAAGATTTCGACAAAGAATGCTAGGTGACAACAAAAGCACAATATCTTCCTGATTTCTTATGTTCAGGACGACTATGTAAAACTAACAATCATAACTCGCTCAGTGAAAAGAGCCAACAACAACAACCACAAAAAATATCAAATTTCACAAGCTAATGTTCTATAACATACTATTATTAACATCAGATTTCTTGACATAGTAATATCTTATAATCAGCACCCGCCAAAGAGTCCACACCAACATCCCACAACTTTTCTCGTTGTCATTCCTCGCACACTTGCAGCTTCTAAAGATTACTTTACTGTCCTATATATATATATATATATATAGGATGTTTATCATCATGATAACATATCACATATCACCCCTACAATCGATATCTGACTCCGCTTACCAAAAAGGGAATAATAAAGATAATAGCTGCAAGTCCAACTGACAGGCGAAGATTTTATCATCTGTAGAAACGAGTACAGAGGGTTAAAGCCCATAGTAGATCCTATTTCCCTAGTAGCAGCTTTAGTGATTTAGTTATGAATGAGTAAGTATACTACCTACTACCTACTACCTGTTACCCCCCATACTCCCCACTCTACCCCAGCTCCTAGAACACTTCCGAACAAACATTTGCAGCTTCCGATCTTCCGATCTACTATTTAGGCACTCCATTGACTTGATCAAATCTATACTGACAGACTGCAGAAGCGTAGAATGTTTAATCTGCCAGATAAAAGACATTCGTGGTTCCAGAATTCGAATTGAAAAACAATGTCATGATATGTAGCGCGAAACTTATGTGCAGTAGCGAGCGCAGATAGATGTGATTGCAATTAGTGTTAAGATTTTTGGGAATGTATAGTTACGCTCTGGAGTGGGTATGCCCAGATTAATCTGATTGACGCGTTGGTTAGGAGTGATACCGTAGGAACTTAACTTAACATCATGTGACCGACCTTGTTTAGCAACCCGCCTGTTCAGTTACTGTTTAGGGGGGGTTTTATTCAGTACTTATTTGTTGACCTATAGTTTATAAGTAATTCCTCAGATAAAAACAATATCTTTTTCTGAAATATATAAGAAATAGTTATTGATCTTGTAATTTAATTCATTATTCTTAATACTGTTATAGAAGAAGATAATAAACTAGAGATAAATAAACACATTCAAGGATCTATCAGAAATCAGTACAACAAGAATCATGTCTTCCACAGATTTTTCCCGCTTCGTAAATCTTCCCGCAGAAGTCAGGCTCCAAGTCTGGGGATGGGCGGCAAGGAACGCCTTGAACCCTCCTCGTGCCATCATCGAATGGCGCAACGGACCACGTAGAACTATCGCAGTTCTCAACACTAGCCTCGAGGCTCGTGAAGAGGCCATGGCTCAAACAGATTTGAGAAGCGTTCTTCGATACTCTTTGCCAGAAGACCCAGTACATTTAAATCGACTAGGCCTCAGTCTAGAAGATCGAGAAGAGTATGTTCGGCACAGCCCCCGGGATTGGTACAGTCTAGAAACAGATGTCTTTGTCCTCGGGGCAAATGACCGTATCCTACGATCACTATGTTATGATATCACTTTCAGAAATGCAATCAAAACCATCGCAATTCCAGCTTTCGTGTTGGATTGTGATGGCAGAGTGATTATTCGTCAACTTAGATGGGAATCGAGATACATGAATATTTACCAGGGCTTGAAAACCGTAGTACTTCTTCGAGACGATCCGGCGCAAGAACCAATTTCCCACAGAAATCTCATCCAGAACAGACTTTTTTACCCCCGTACTAACGACATCAGAATCAAGATCGAAGACAGCCCACTTTCACAAGTGGAGTTGGACCTATTGGGATTCGATGTCAATTTCTTTAACAACCTCGTCATTTCGATGCGCAGCAACATGACGCCAGACTGGCAGTTACCTGAGATCAAATGGGGATGCTTGGTCCGATACTGAGCTTGAAGTCGCGTGACTTGGTCCGCCAACTCGCCTGTTCAGCTGCTGTACAACTATTGTTCAAGGGGTCTGTACTGAGACACTTCTCTGTGGAAGTACGGTTTGTGAGTTGTTCCTCAAATGCAAACAGCACCTCTTTCTGGAGTGTATAAGAGATGGTTATCACTCTCATAATTCAGTTCATTATCCTTAGTTCCATCTCAGAACAAGACATAGACTAGAGATAAATAGACACAACCAAAAATCTATCAGCTATCACTTTATCAACCCACAAATCATGTCTCCTACAGATCTTTCTCGCTTCGCAGATCTTCCCTTGGAAATCAGACTACGGATCTGGCGAAGCATAATAGAAGGTGATCTCAGTCCTCCTCGGCGATCATCGGCGACGTGCTGTGGGAGCCTAGAACCATCGGAGCTCTCGGAGTCAGTCACGAATCTTGTGCAGAAGCTCTTCGCCATCGTCCAGATTTGGAAACGTTCAAGTATACCCTGGCGAATGCCCCTGGCATACTGGCGCTGGGCGTCGCAAAAAGGTCTGGTTTAGCACTGAAGCTGATGTCTTTGTCATTGACCCTATCAGAAAGTTTACACTAGGTAGGTGGGAGATCCCCACTCTCAAATACGCGATCCGAACCATTGCTATTCCACAATCAAAATTCGGCATAAGCAACCACAGTCTGCACTGTGCACTACATCTTTCCCAGTTGAATGACGCACGCAACTTTAAGAGGTTAAAGACCTTGGTAATCCTTCGGGATGACCCGGCACAAGAAGTAACACCTCATTTAGTCATTCTAGACCCCGCCATCCGCTCAACTTCTGATAACATCAGAGTCTCGATCGACCCAACTCCACTCTCACAGGTGGAAATGGATGCATTTGGATATACTGTCCCTTGGTATAATAGTTTCATCTCTATTATTCGACAAAAGAAAGGTCCAAATTGGGAGTTGCCTGAGATCAAATGGGGATGCTTGGTTCGACACTGAGCTTGGGACCACGAGGACGAGGACACCAACAAACAAACACGCGCCGAAATTGTATAAGTATCAATCATTTGGTATTTCGGAGTTGGTCGAGTGATTTTCATATTCAAAACACCCAAGAATAAAATCAAAAAAAGGTAAAAATTAAAAACCCCTACAAAAAATGCTTGATATCCACAATTGGCGTTATTTTCACAAAAGTAAAGTGTGAGCATGACGGCAGGCAGGACCTAGCCTTTGATCAATAAATAAAAATTGTAAGTAATCAAAACCGAATTAGAAACTGTATCAAATCCCCAAATGCGATGAGATTAATGTGTGAATGTTGTGACTAAAAATATCAGTAAATGAAGATGTAGAAAGATTTTCAGGAGAAAATAATTGAACCAAGTCATTGATAAAGTCAAAATATCTGATGCACGGACATATCCCGAGACTAGCTTTTTAATTAAGCTTCATAATAGGGCGGGGAAAGTAGTGAAACATAAATTTTACACAATCCAAATTGATGATCCGGCTTGTTGATCTGCTTTGTTGATAAATTCGATTTCTCTTCATCAGGAAACTTCGCCGATATAACGACCGTTGTAACTTGTTTCGCCTTACATCGCTGATAAGAAGCATCTGAACCCCCGAATGTTTCCTTGTAAAGCACCTGATTTCGCTTTGCAATGATCACCATCAGTTCAATGAGAGATGTACGTGTGGGCGTCTCATGTACGCCATTGTGTCTTGATTTTCTTTGAATTGGAATTATTCAACAAAGCATGAAGCGTAAAGCAAGTGAATCATGGAAAGTGGTCACTGGAACCTCAAATTTGTAGTTTGTTAGACATGACGATCTGGATTTGACTCAAATGAGTGAGGGTTTTGGTGAAAGTGCCTTAAGAATCACGATAAATTGGTGACGAAAGGCTGTCGGTGAGATATCAAAAGTACCAAGGATTGTGTGATAATGATGAGTAAAACAGGCAAATGTACTTCCTGTGCCTCCCGCCAACACTGAGTGGCAAGGTCTAGGATATTTTCCCTGTGTTTGTTTGCTGGCTTCATGATGAGATTACCAGGTATGATATATCTTGGAGCCAAAATAGATGTGAGAACAAAGAAAGCAACTTCGGTACATCGGATAATTATCAGGAAGCCTTGTTTGAACTCTCGTTTTGTGACCAAAGAGATGTGTGACTTCTACCTAGTAGGAACAAAGGAAATTGATCGAAAATTTAGAAGCGCTTTCGTGATCAACTCCCAATTGATCTGAATATCTGAACCCCGGACTCCATATATGAAATAAAGATGTGACTTCACAAGTGGGAGAGAGAACGTTAACAAGGCTGGCTCCTTTCTTGTTGTTGAGATATCGTCCCTTGCAGCAAACAAGCAAACAAACAAACAAACAAACAAATCACAGCCACATTGACAAGTCCTACAGATATCCCGAATTAGCAACAGGAGCTTGATTCCGGTAGCTGTCAGGGATCAAATGAAAATTTGGGGTCGGAATACAATGCACTTCATCGCTTCCATAAGTTCCATTGAACCCAAAAGGTGGATCTCAAGGAATCAAAGGAAGTTCAGACGGGTTGATCGGTTGGATATGAAACATTCACAGACCCTGTCAAGAGTTAGCAAACAATGTAATTAACAGGATGGAATTCCCATTCACATTTAGCCGTCGTCTTGTGAGTCTTGTGGAAGGCTCATAGGTGATGGTTAGAGAACAAGCTACCATCCAACGGTTGGAGATGGGTAGATCTTGGTTACATTCGTACCTGTACCTGTACCTGACCTGTACTTGTGCCTGTGATGCCAAGGATGTAATGATAGTGAATTCCCCTATTTCTGAGGAGTATGTAATCAAGTGAATATAAGTAAATCATACCTAGGTGGTGGTGGGTTAATAAAACCGATTTTCCTTGTCTGCTGAAGGGTTTCTTTCAAAATCATTTATCAAACTTTCTCTCACTCACACACGCACACGCACACGCACACCTCTTTTATGTGTGCAGAGTGAGGTTGATTCTCGACCAAATCAATACCAAGGGAGAAGAAGAGCGAGATTGTGTTTGAAGTTATTAATAAGAGGTTGCCTTCCCCACATACTCCGTGCTACTACTCTACTCCGTAGATACTAGATTCTGGGTATCAGGTACATCCATACTGGGTAACCGGGAGACAGGTAATACCGTGGTAGTTCAGAGGCAATTCATAGGCAATTCGCCCCAAACTTCAATGCACCAACAACCAACGAAATCCCATCAAATCAATCCTTCAGGCTTTGTCGCCCTTTGATTCGCTTCCTCAGGCTTAGCTACATCCCCAAAAGGAATCCACCAATCCACAAGGAATCCCGGTCGATTTGCAACTCCTCCACCAAAAAAGATTAACACCCTCGAAATACCGAGATCGTTCCTTCCCTTTTAATAATCACCTCTTTCCGTAGGGGTGATTTGTTGCTTCAATTATCAAACTGGCAAAATTCATCATGAAGTGGTTCCGAAGAAAGAAGAAGCCAGGAAAGGAGCTGTCAGATAAACCAACTCTCGTACGCAGTTACACAAATCGAGCAGATCGAAGGCATCATGCAGCATATGCAACCCCGCGTGGATCTATCATAAACAAGCTTCCCGATAAAGTTCTCGAACGCATCTTCACACTTGTATGCCCTCATACGCAAGACGAAACTTATGAGACGTGCGAGCAATCTTCTCTGGATGACTGCTGTCCATTATGCGATACAAGAGATTTGGCTCACTGTGCGCGAGTCTCAAGAAAATGGAGGAATGTAGCTATTGGGGTTTTGTTCGTAGTCCAACCATTGGTGCAAAGTGTTCAATTAAGCTGACTCAATTATTGCGCAGGTATCATAGTGTTCGGATTGATGCAGTTCATTTCTGCGAACTCGAAGAAATATTATCAGAGAAGAGGAAACACAAAGGTCGATTCAATCGCAATGCAGAACCAGAAGAAACCCCCAACGTTAGGTTGCAACTACTTTGTAGAACGATTCGCGATAATAGGATGTTGGGAGAGTTGGTGGAATTTCTCAAAACACCGTATATGACTAGAGGAGCTTGCAAAGCCGATCTTGCACGCAGCGTGGCAGTTTGTCCTAATATGCGATATCTCGATCTTCCCGAGGGGATATTTTCAGATGATCCTTCCTGTCACGCACTCAAACTCGAAATTCAAGCGCGATGTCCAGATCTACGAAAGATGACATACATGACCGGCTCGGAGAGAAGTCTTGAACAATTGGCAGGCGGCAAGATCTGGAGAAATCTGGAGGTATTGGAATTTACAAGACTCAATATGGACCCCACGATCATTCGACGTGCCTTGGGCTCATTGACTGGGCTTCGAGCTTTGAAAGTGACAGATACAAAGACATTCAATGATGAAGTATTCCAGCACAGCGATTATCTACCGCCGTTTCCAGCTTTTACCGAATTGGTTTTCGAAAATACACCCAACGTTACAGCGATCGGCTTGGAGGCGTATTTATTCCGTTCAGACACGCAAGAGAAACTCACAAGTCTTTCATTGACAGAAACGGGTATCCATCCTTCTACTTTGCACAAAATCACAGACAATGCTCCCAGATTGACCTTTTTGTCGATTGTTGAGTCAGTACATGCGTCCTTTCCAGCTCTTCAAAACATTCCACCACTTTCCTCAACGTCACTACAAACACTGCATTACGAAATTACCTCCGGATCATCTGCAAATACATTCAAGAGCGTTGCACAAAGTCATTACTCATACCTCACCACCTCCCTGATCGCCAATAGACTTCCCGCGCTTCGAGCTCTTTACGTTCGCGATTCCGAGTTCCCCGAATCTTTGATCGGTCTCGCACCTCCTGCTCCCGCATATGCGTCCGATCCAGATAATTTTGTACCACCTAATCCTTTCGATCGTTCGTCGAATGCGCCTTCTGCCATGCCCAACAATCGATTCAGTTCCAACAATCCTTTTGCAGCTCAAGCAAGCCTGTCTCCGGCGATGCCTACTGGAATGGGACTTAAACAAGAATTAGAGGTTTACAGTAAAGGTCTTGATGAGATGGAATGGAATTTCGCCAAAGTCCAACCGCCAACTGCACCCGGCAGGAGAGGTTCGGCAACAACAGCAAGACCGATTAGCAGTTACGGACTAGGTGACAGTATGGGTAAAGCATGGGCTCCGGGTCATGGCGCGAGAAGAAGTGTTATTGTCGGAAATGGATTTGGTGGCTTCCTCGCCGTGCCCGCAGATGATCCTCCCAGACCCAGCAGCTCCGCTGGTGAAAAGAAAAGACATTCCAGGAAAAACAGCAGCCAAGATTTATGGCGATGATTGTACAGAAATATTATTGGGCCCGATCTCACTTTGGATGTTTTGCATTTTGGGTCATTCTATCGACTTTATATTGATTTTCTTAATATATGTAAAAGTCTGGTCCGGTCGCACACTTTTCTTTGGGGTATTTTTTTCTTCTACGATCATGTGAGACAAATAATCTCACAGAGAGACATATTTAACGCAATGAGGATTTATGGCGTATACCACGGATATTTACGTTGGATCTATTATACAGTCTTTTTTGCCTTACCTTGCGTGTGTGGAGCGTTTTATGTTTAATACCCTGAAGGCTCTTATGGTTATGAACGGAGAATGGGGATAGGATATCAGGAGATGATTGATAGTCTATTTTTTTTGGGATGGTTAGCGGGTTGAAAGGTTGAGTGTTTGATGGCATAGTAGATAGCGGAATAAAATGATTTTTTAATATAGCCTCTGGGCAGTGATGACATGATATTGATTTGTTGTGAAATTTCTGAACACGCTCTTTTTGAGAGAGTTGTGGAGGGCTGGAGAGAGTTGACGGAGAAGGTATTGGGGCAATGCTGCAGGAGGTAGCTCTTGGGGAACATACGGTGTGCTGTCGTAGAGTGCCGTCGTAGGACCCTGTCGAGAAGAGGCGTCGGAGAGGATTTTTCAAACAAAAAATAATTCTCACG